TTTCTGGTTTATTTATCCCAATGGCAGCTTCTTTCCTAACCCAGGAGACTGCCCAGAGGAAGAGGAGTTCATCTGGTGTAGAAAGTATTGTAACTATTTAATACCAATTCCACACTCCCATTCCCTTTCCCTCACAAACGTTCCAGCTACTGTGGTCTACCCCCCTCCTCAGGTGGGCACCAGCAGTACTCCCACTGCACACTATAGCCCACACATTTCTTTACAGATTTGGAAGTCTTGGTAAAAAAAAAATTCTACTACTACAAGAAAAGATCATCCCAGATTTACATATAGTTTGCCTGTAGCTCTACATCTGTCCACTATTTTCACAAATGTCACTCTAATGGAAGGATCGCATCTATCAAAAATCATCTCTAGGAAATTTTACATCTCCTCTAGTGATACAACAAAAGATGACCTTTCCAATGAACTGCTGCTAACTCACTGCATGGAAAAGAACAGATCTCTTGCATGCTGTAATACATGACACAGTTAGTTGCCTCAAGCAAACTAAAAACTGCACAGCAGAACCAGCTGGTTACAGATGGTAGTGTGAAAAGTTCACCTCCTCCCTTCTCTGCTGCTTAGCTGCAAGAGTATTAGTCAACAAAGCAAAGGATTACTTGTACTTCACTCTGCTCAGATTAAAAAGGACAAATTCTAAAAATGAATGCATAGCCTTCACTTCAAGCAATAACATACAGTGCTCCAATAAAGGAGGAAGCAGCTTTGATGAAACATCAAGTGGGATAATGAGAAAGATCAGAGATGAGCTTGACATGAATACTGGGCAAAGTTTACTTCCCTGAAAAAGGAACTCAAGCCCTGCCTTTATACCTGACCTGATTTTTAACACGGTGTGTGGGTATGGGGGTGTGTAATCACTATCACCACATGACAAAATAAAGCAGAGGTTATTTGCCAGACAAGGAAATGTAGATTCAGACAAACCAGTGACAAGGAAATAGCAGTAGAACAGGCAGCATAAATGAATGTTCATGCTTTGCCTCTGCTCAGCACTCTTAGCACCTAAGACAGAAAAAAAAAATCCAGCGCTCCTTAGGGAAAAATACAGTAACATTAAAGGTGAAACACAGAAAGGAGTGAAAAAACTGAAAGCAGTTCAAACTTCCTTTCTGGACAACCTGCGGATGGATATCACAGATGTATTCAAGGATAGTGCAAAGCCGCCAACTCTTTCTTTAAAAGAAAAAGAAAAAAAAAAAACCTTTAAATTTGCAGCTGACACATGATAAAATCCAGAAAAAAAGCAGATTTTTCTCCAATACTGAAGTTAAAAGACTTCAAATCAGTTTAAAAATAAAGAAAGAAATAAAGGCAATTTCACAACTAAGTGCTAAAGCACTGAAGACATTGTTCTAACACAGAAACAGATGAACAGTGCAGAGGCAACATTATCATAAAATTTCTACACACAAATAAAGCACAGGGGAAGAGCTAGAATTGATACTTAAGGATGGTGAGTGTGACCTAATGTGTATAATTAAGCCACTGAAATTAACTCAGCTCCCTTTGCTCTTTTTACAGATAAATGGAAAGCAATAGATAATAGTCCCACACCAAGTAAAGAATTTATTAGGTCATTCATTAGGTCATTTATTAGTTTTGGGGAGCCAAAACTGCTTTGTCTTCATTAAAAATAATGGGAAAATATAGTTGATCCAAGTGAAGAATTTATAATTCTGCAAAGTCAAAAGCTTTAAGGGAAGATATCTACTCCAAAAAAAGCAGCTATTTGGTCAAAACCACTGCCTTTTCTCATTTGCCCTGACATACACAGTGATGAATGACACAGTTGGCTTCTTAACTGTAGGACCTTGTAAGATATAATGCACTGATTACATTAGTCCAGCTGAAAATATTTCTAGTAAAGCTGCAAAAAATTGCCTTATTTTTAAACATCTAACTGGAAAAACACTTTTTTTTTTCCAAATAGCATCTTCTTATCCAGCAATAGCAGACTGCAGCAAGGATATCTAAAGTAAAAAGTGAAACAAAGTGTTAAATAAAATTGAAAATATAAGAAGCAAAAATGGAAATCAGCATTTCCATCCATACTCTCACATCTTGGAGACGAAGTACCAAACCAGCTTCCACACTGGCCTACGCCCATAAAAAAGAGCTGCAGGTACCATGAGTCATGCCGGGCCTGCTGAAAAGATCATAACTTCTTTTCGGGACACTCAGCTTTCTGGCCATCAATCCACCAAATTCACAGAAGTCACCTCAGGCAAAGAATTCCTTAATTCCAGGTCAAATAAAGCAGAAATAAGCATGTTCAAAATGTACAACATGTGGCAAGAGGGAGAAACAGACCCCCACCACATAATGGTACCTTTATGATCTCCCTGTTCTAGAGTCCTGTCTCTGCTTTGGGAATACAACTTTGTATCATTCTGTTTCTTAAATTTTATTATGTCTAAAAAAAAAAATTGAAGTAAACAGTAACAAAATTTGGTCTTCACCATATCCCTGCTGACCCAATTAACATTTGAAGAGGTATAATCACCATCACTACGGTTATAAATGTTAATGCAATGGAAGGCATTAATAATATTCCAAAAAGAAAATTCAGAAACTCGATTCTAATCCTCACAAAAGTGAAGCATTACAAAAATAAGGAACAAATAAATGGTCAGAAGATAAAAGCCTGCAGCACATCATATAGGCTGTTTGTCATCAAGCTTCAGCCCCAGAGGTTAAGTAAACACACATGCACCCATATGTCAACATTACCTAAATGTTGTTCTGACTGCCACTCAATTTTCACTTCCTGGGGACCTGATCAGGCCATTTGTAAAGCACATGTGGGCTGATACACCTACACACAGCACAGATTTCAGTGAGGCATCCAGGCAGAGCAACCTGCATGTGCTTATGTGTGCACGTGCACGTGTAAGTGCACACACACTTGCTTAAGTGCCAGATGCATTAGATAAAGGGCCAGAATCAAAATTATACAAATATTCTTCAAAAAGGCTGGGTAAACATCCTGGAGAAAGCAGCACTCGTAAGACAGATGTTGAACACATTTTTTTAATAACAAAATAGTGTTGGCCATCATTAATTGCAACATTTGTGATGCATCTATTCCAATGTAAATATACATTAACTGTTAACCAAACTCCTCCGCTCCGCTGGAAGAATTTAAAATTCATATGTGAAATGTATTGGATTACATATTATTACATATATTACACAACATATGACTCATGTTCAATGATTTCTAGTTCCACATGTACACCTAAAACTTAATACCCTTTGTCTAAAAGGTTAGTCATCCTCTCCTTTAAATGCATCTCTTAAAGGCCTGACATAATTTTTCCCATATAGCATTATTTTTAACTTAAATTGTCTTTTAATGTACAACTGTACTAAAAAATTACTTACTCCCACAATAAAATCCATTTATTTTCCTTTCAGATCTCCTGTTCAGGTTTCTTATGCTAGAGATACTAAGGCAAACAACCCATAAAAATCCTTGGTCTCTTCACACTGTGAGGTATACTGTAATTCAGAAGGGAAAAAACCCTGTAGAGAAAACTAGCATATCCAGGATGCTGTTCCTTTTCACAATTACAGCTCGCCTGAATACATAAGGCCATCTAAATTTTAAATTATACACATCAATTACAACATTGTAGCTTCATCTGAAGCTAGCAATTACACTTTGTAAAACAAATTAATACTTCATTTCAAGAAGCTGGAGAGAAGTCCAAACATCCAAAGTATGCTTTTGTTAAGTCATTAAATTAGTGCACAGATTTGTCACCTCTTTTCTCAGAAGCTTTGATCAACTTCTTTCATCTTCTCAATTTGCCTCACATAAAACTGTTCAACATGCTACAAACAGCGTAATACAGGAGTCCTCCAACAGTTCCAGGCAGATACATAGAGCAAGACTCTGCCCATCAACTGTCAGAGCACCTTCTCAACGGAGGCTTCATTTTCCACCACAGGCAGGCTTTCTGAAACTTAAGTGTTTTCTTCTAACTGGTTTGCCTGTCAGACAGAAGAAAAACAATTACTGAAAAACAGTTTACATGTCTTCTTTTGCTTTTCCTATTTTATAGGCTAATATTAAACGTGAAAACCAGAATTCATTGATTTTTAAAAAATTAGAAGTGAAATGATATTAGAAAAGCTCAGAAATTATTCTTTTTTTTTTCCTTCCAATGGGATGCAGTATTACTATGTATTAGGCATAAAAAGAAAGCAAAATAGTACGATTAAACCAATTAGGTACAATAATTACCAGATAATTAACAAGCTAGCATGTCAAGAAAACCATAAAAAAAACCATATTCTCTTATATCTACACTAAGCCTGCTTAGTTCAAAGCAAACAATTCCTTTCTTATAGGAATTCACCCCTGCGCCCCTTTTAAAACTGATTCTTCCAGGAAGCCATTCCAAAATTTAGGGGATATAAATCACATTTTCTGTTGAAACAAAAAAAACATTCCCACTTCAAAAGTTTTCTTTAGTGCATATCTACAAGAGGAAAACACTTTAAATGGCTCTAACCCAGGAAACTAATACAGGATAAAATGCTTCCTCGCATGTTTATTAATTTTATATTATACTCCTCTACAAAATATGACAAATAAAAAAGCACAATCCAATTATGAACAATACACCTAGTTATTTTACTGCAAAAGCACAGGAATGCTGTTGAATGTATTGTCCCTGGAAATGTTAAGATTGCTTTTCTAAAATTTGTTTTAAGGAACCAAAATAGTATTAATTTACATATAATTTAATACATACAGGTGACAGCTGCTCGTCTTTTTGTCTTTAAAAGTCTAAGAAAAAAGAATAAATTTAACCTCCACTGAATGTGAGAGACAGATGGCTTTAAAGACTTCATGCACACGTTCACTCACGCACAATCTAAGCAATATGCGCTAAATCATGGCTTGCAAAAGATAGAGGGAAAATAATGCAAAGCTACAGTTAAAAAAAAAAATAAAAAATTACTCTTCCTCTTCGTTTTTAAGCACTTGGTATTTGGGACTCTGGAGATCTTCTATGTTCTCAGCAATTGGCTTATTTAGTGTTTCTGGCAGAAGGAGAGTCAGGAATCCTGCTGACAGTCCACTGATTCCAAACACCACAAACGGTACAGAAGGACTAAGAGATTTCTAAAATTAAAAATCCATAGTAAAAACCCAACATTGTTCCCTGCTCTTAAAATACCCGATCTGTATGTAGTCCAAGAGACAACTTTTCACTCAAGCAATGCGTGCAGTTATCCACAGAGTGGCAGAACAGAGATACCCAAGAAATGTCATTCCACAGCAACACCTTCATATGAAAATTTTATGTGCCTGAAAGAACTCAGACACTGAGTGAGCCTTAGCAGTACTGAATGCATTATAAGACAACATTTCACTAACAGATTAAATATTAACACAACATTAGATTATTTCCAAAAAGGAGAAAATACTAGGTATTTTTAAATGTCTTGTTCATTAATTGTTGAAATTGAATGAACTTTTTAACTTTTCATAAAACATGGGGTTTTTTTCCCCAAGGAATATAAACATGCGTGGTACAAAAAAATCAGAAAAGTGCTTTTGAGAGAGTTTAATAAATCCAAGTTCCATAAAAAATAGAAAATAATCTTACCATGGATGGCACAAATGGAGCCAAAATGCCCCCAAATCTGCAAGACATGGAACAGACACCCAAGCCAGCATTTCTGTTGCAAACAAAGGATGAAAGATTTGTAGTTTCAGAATACACAAGTGAATCATGCATGAACACGTGGTGGCACTGTTAGAACCAACTCACACTTCTTTTATTTTTAACAAGACCTCCAGCAGTTACCCCCAAGATTTTCTACAGCTAGCTGCCAGAAAGGTAAATCACACCCTTTCAGAGGCTGACAAGAGAACTATGTTGTGCAATCCTTCACGGAAGTCTGAACAGAGAGAAGTCTTCCAACCTGCCATACCGGGCAATTTAATTGGATGTCCCTGTGCTGGATGGGGAATGATTTCAAAATCTGGCAGAATCTTCAGACAGAAGAACCCAATGTTATCTCCAGCTCAGGCCCTTGGCAGCTGCCTCTCTTCTGCTCCCTCAGGCTGCACAGATGAAATGTCAGGTTTACTTCCAGACAGAAAATAAGTATTTGCCACCAGTGTTGAAACTTGAAAACATCTGGCCAGATGTGTCAGCAGAGGGGCTACTGACTTCTGCACTCCCTTCAATTTTCAGACAAGTTTAAAAAAATCTCACCAAGACTGTGATAATCAAAGCACAGCCTAGAACAGCAGGATCCTCGTCAAAGAAAGTTACAAAAATCCCCCGAAGTCTTTAATTTCCTCATCAAATGCCGAAAGCTGATTCTAGAGCCCTTTCTAGATAACATCGCGCTTCTGGAGATAATTCTAGAGCCAATTTCTAGCTAACGCTGTTCTTCTAGAACTACTTCTAGAGCGATTCCTATATAGCTCCATTATTCTAGAGCTTGTTCTGGCGCTGATTCTAGATCACTTTGTGCTTTGAGCCTATTCTAAATAATTTTGTGCCTCTAGAGCTGATGCTAGATCACTTCATGCTTCATGTACTTTTTTCACTCAGATGGTGGTGAGACACTGGAACAGGTTGCTCCAGTCCCATCCCTGGAGGGGTTCGGGGCCAGGCTGGATGAGGCTTTGAGCAACCTGGGCTAGTGGGAGGTGTCCCTGCCCATGGCACGGGGGTTGGAGCCGGATGATGTCGGGTCCCTTACAAGTCAAACCATTTTATGATTCTCTGTCACTGGCCTAATTACCTCTATGGTGCTACAGTCACAACACATTCCTACACCACGTCAGCTTTCAACTTCCCTGCTCTCTCAAAAGAGGGCTCCATTTTTGCATTAGTTTTGTAGCTGCTATTCTTGAGCAGCTAGTGCAGTATGGCTCAAATTCTAAACGTGTACTTTTGAGTACCATTCAGACAAACACGTGGGACCAAGATGGGGTTGGAGAACACAACTGCATGGTATTATATCTCCCTATCTCAGGTTTATCTTGGAAAAACAGGAGAGCGTAACCCCACAAAGTGTTAGTAAGAATTATGAAAAATAAATGAAGGTTTTAGCCCACGTGTTCATGAACTAAATGGTGTTAAGCAAATTGTCATACAGAAACTAATAAAATTAGTTGTATTATGAATATTTACTTAAATAACAAACATATAGAAAAGCACTTGTTTTTCAGGAGGCAAACATACCTAATCACACAGGAGACATAAGTATCCAGAAGGACTGTAAGTAGTCCTTACTGCATAGTTTATATTTATAATCTAAGGTAGCATACACTTCATCACATCATTATGTTTGGTTTTGCAGCCTGTAATTTCACTCCCAAAATCAACAGCAGAAATGAGAAATACAGCACCTAGCACTGGAGTGTAGGAAGTTTGGTTTCATATTTTTATTCTGGATTCAGACGTAGTGGAAGTTGCCAGAAACAGCCCAGGAAAGTTCATTGGTGCAAAACGTGTGACTGACAGGAGAAGCCCTTTCAAGCCCTGGCAAGCTGCCTTAATTACAGAAGGAACTCATACTGACATTTCAAGTAAAAATAATTACAGATAAATATTAAAGCACACCAGCAATCAGTATCACTGTGCGTGAAAAGTGTTTGCATGTACCCAGAAGTTCTGTTAAATTACCTCAGTACTGTTGGGTATAGTTCCGATGTATAAATATACATGATGTTGAAAGCGGCGCTGACCATCATTTTTCCACACAAAACTAACAAAGTGGGACTGAAGAACAGATCTTTCAGAAAAGAGAAAATAAGATGTAAGCGTAAATGGTCTGTTTTCTTACTCTTTTTACACAGTGTTGAAAACATCCAGTCCTCTTTCAGCGACTGTCATGTAAAAAAACAATGTTTCACCTCTTATGTTTTTCAACTAAAAGCACAAAAGCAATTATCTCCGTTCTTCCTAACCATTCTAAGAGCTAGCATAAGAACAGATACCTAAAATTACATCTAGGACCAAGAAAGTCTGCCCCATTTTTTTGTGAAAGTGTAAAACTATCACAGCTCTAGAAGGAAGCTTCCAGCTTCCAGCTCTGCAGTCAGTAACCTGTTACCAGGTACCAGGTAACTGCATCTTTTGGCAAGCACAATACAACCTCCTTGACTAACTTATTAGATTAAAACCATAAAACTTGATTCACCTCAACAGCTTATTTGCTCCCCAAGGACATCCTGTTGGGACTTAAAATGCAGCAGCTCTGTAACTGGAAAGAAAAAATGCTAACGCAGCCCAGTGTACAGTAGTCTTTAGTTGGCTAACTCAAATGTGGTGCTTTTCAACTCCAAAAGAAACCTGGCTTTTGTTATCCTGATTTTGGATATGGTATGTTTGCACCAGACATTTCAAGAAAGATAATTTAATATATATATATATTTTTAAGCATGAAAAAAGAACTAATGCTCTGATTAGCTGTATTTCAGGTTCTCTTCCTGAGCACTGAGTTCAGCATGTTTCAGTTTGGATCAAATTATGTTGATAAGTAATGGAAAAGTCTGATTGCTTCTCATTTGCCTTTCTTTTAATTTTGCCATTGAGTATTTTCAATTCTACTCATCTGATCAAGTCCAGTTCTATTTCAGCTGAAGCAGAAATTAATTTGTACATAAACTGAAGTCCAGAAACTTGATTTAATTTCTTTAAGTATGATGCAATTTTGCAGTTATTTCTGTAATTCATGCAAAACAAATGCAACATTTATTCCAAGTTCTCCTTTTGCTCAGTAAGAACTGGAATATGACATACAGTTGCCAGATGCAAAGGTGTGAATCTGGGCCTCAGAGCCCTGCTGGATGCTGTCAGAAAGCTGGGACATCCCTTTACTTCCATCAACCAAACATGAAGCAATCAATAGATCTGTAATTCTCAAATGTGTTTTAAAAATTGCTGTTTCTCTCCCAGGGAGTTAAATTGAATGCTGCATATAGCCATGTGTTAGAAATGTAGCGTTAATGCGCTTGGGAAATTTTGGTCTTACTATCAAAACAGAAGAGTCTGTCTAGACAGATAAATTAGCACTCGGGAAGTGAATCTGAAGTGCACTGTCTTCTCCAGGTTCCCTCCCTGAGGGGAGGCTGAAGGCTGGCCACAAGGGCATTCCCACAGGATTAGAAGCACACTGGAAATTCACTGCACGTCGGCTTCTTTGTGTAAGTAAGCCCAGACATAGTCATTATATTTTCCTTGGAGTCTTGGAACATATTTTTAGCAATTCTTGTAGAATATTCCTTATTTTCTTTACATACAGTGCATTACCATTAAGCAGGATCTCCTGTGAGGATTCTGGTGACCGTATTATAGGTCATTCGCTAGGTCCAGCCAAGCATGTCCATGCAGCATCTTTAAGACTTCTGTTATATTTTGTTAACACCCTTTTACCTGAACATCCAGCAGCAATGGCATGCACACAACTCTGCCTGAAACAGTACAGCCAGGGCAACTGCTTCACATTTTGGTAAAAGGCAAAAAGATGTAAGCTCTTACTAAATTAATTCATTTAAGTCTTATTGATAAGGAATAATTGTCCATTAATTGATCTTTTGAATTTAAGGAAGTAAAACGGGGGAAAATGGTAACACACACTGCCGATGTTTAAGAGCTTCTAGAACAGGAGTTAGAAGTTTTGATGTGATGCCGTCACTATTAAGAGGTTCATCTGCAGTGCCATTATGTAGGTTCACCTTCTGGCTGTCATTGCAGTAAGTAAAAGTTCACTTAAACCGTACTTCTGAAACTAAAGGAGTCTTTAAATTTACTTCAGAAAAAATATCTGCCAAGAAAGGTGAGTTCTCAACACAAGGAAATACCCAACATTAGCGAAAGCTGAGACAATTGATTTAAAGAAATGCAAGTTTTCTTTCCTTCTTCCGTGGAAAGCATATAAATGAAAGTCACAAAAAGTTATTATGTCTTCAGCACAAGCAGATAAATCTCAGTTAAAATCTAGTTACCCCTAGACTAGAACTCTCCTTTGCTTGCTACAGCATAAAGCAGACACAAAAGGCAGATAGATGTCTTTGTACGTTACAGCAGCTTTTAGAAACAAAAGACAACAGCTCCATTCCCCCTCTGCTGTCACTCTCCCTCACCACTCTCCAATCTGACACTCTCACAAATTAACTGATGAGTTCTAAGTGATAAGCAAAGAGGGAGCTGAGGGATGTATCAGTTTTTACTTAAACATTGAGAGATTTTTAGTTTAAAATTCAGTACACATTTTTAATAGCTGAAATGTTATTCGCTTATTCCCCAGGGAGATGACTTGGATCAGACTCTCATTCCCAAGTTAGCAGAGTTGTTTAGAAATTGAGTGAAGGTTACAGACATGAGAGGCAAGCGCCCAATATCTCATTAAAACCTTAAATCCCTTGTAATAAAATCAAGGCTCTTGTCAATCTGACGAACGCGGACTTAGAAAAACATAAGAATTGTCCTTCTTACTAACAGGAGGGGCAGGTCAGAGATGCAACAACCCTCATTCATGCAGCAAAGTGACTCATCTTCATCATGCCTGGAGCCGAATTTCTTTCTATTTAACTGACACAGATCACTCTGGGCCAAGAACCAGTTTTACTCTTGCCAGAGTGGAAAGCAAGATGTTTTAATGGGATTAAAGTCAACTCAACTGGAAAAAGCAGATTTCCTGAAATTTAGCAGCTCTTCAGGAATTATTACCCTATCCTGATTAGTCACTACTGCTTTTCTTTTATTTTTTTCTTGAAATATATAAAAAGAAGCAGAAAGAGCAAACTTGTTAGAACAAAGGAAAAAACAAGCTCAATAAAAGGAGCAACAAAACATCTGAGGACGTGAATTAACACAAGCATGGCAAATAGGATTATGGGATATTTTCTCTCTCCGTTTTTCTTCCTGAGACTTTTCTGAGATCAATTTGAAATGGATGCCAGACAACATTTATAACTGTTAAGAATAAACACAACCTATAGAGGGCTACCTTGTAATCACATCGCTGGTGCTCCTGGGTCAAAATACTGTTCAAGCTAAAACATTTCTGCTGAAAGAGATGGGGAGGCACTCTTTATCGGGGAGTGTAGTGACAGGACAAGGGGTAACGGGTATAAGCTGAAAGAGGGTAGATTTAGACTAGACATTAGGAAGAAATTTTTCACTGTGAGGGTGGTGAGACACTGGAACAGGTTGCCCAGGGAAGCTGTGGATGCCCCATCCCTGGAGGTGTTCAAGGCCAGGCTGGATGAGGCTTTGAGCAACCTGGGCTACTGGGACGTGTCCCTGTCCATGGCAGGGGGGTTGGAACTTGATGATCTTTAAGGTCCTTTCCAACCCAAAACGTTCTGTGATTCTATGAAACATTATTAAGCAAAATACAAAGCAGAGAGAGGCCACTTCTATTTGTTAGTGTCACACAGATGTAAGTTTTCAGTAGCTAAAACAAATACTAGTATAGAAAAACTGTACTTGATGTGGAAAGGAAAGTGAAAATACAAACCCAAACATATCTGAATGTCACTGGCAATGTTAGAAAAAACACATCTCTTGAGATGAGAAATATACTGGATGATACTCCACCTTTATCACGAACTGTCCTCACAACTGCATAGTGCAGCAATACCTGGCACGAGACTGAGAAAGGCAGCAAGCTTCTTGCAATCTCTATGATTTTCATATGACAGTTCTGACTTCCATTTCTAATTTTCAAGCACAAATAACCTTTTAAAAGCTTTTTAGTGTTTTGTTTTGTTTTAATGATCTATTACACTTCTAATTCAGGAAAATCTCAGTTCCTACTTCTATAAGTATTACATGCCACCAAAACAAAAGTAAAGATCTTGACACTGTCAAGATCCAGTCAAACTAACATTATACTGCCCTACAGCCTCCCTATTAAATCCTGTATTTTAAGGTAAACTGCTGAATAGTGTTAAATGAACAGTGTCAGTACTTGAGACAGAATGTGTCAGCTTGGTCTGACTTTCAAAAAGCCAAGAGCTTGCAGTCAAACTTAGTCAATTAACAGGATCAAATTATGCCAGCAAGAAGTTAAAAGCAATATAGACAAGACCATGGCTCCTTGACCAGCTCCAGAATGAAGAGACAGAGAGAGGTATAAATGGGCAGGGCTTTAGGCCCTGATAGACTTGGTCATGAAATACACATTTAGGTATTTTGTCAGCTTTCATCCAAATCAACAAACATCTACTTTAGCAACAGTACATACTTACCAGCATTTGTTGGTAAAAACATGGTCAATATACAGGCAAACCCTGCAAATATCAGAAAACATGTCATAGTTTTACATCTTCCAGACCTAGAAGGAAAAGAGCACCAAGATAAAGGACGGAAACAAAGTCCTTTGGTATTTTTCACATTTGTCTGCAAATACCTTCTAATGCACATAAGAGCATTAAAAAGAGTTATAAATCTGTTGTACCCTGGTAAGTGCTTCAAATCTTTCATTATTTTCCTAGTTCTGTGTACCAAAGTCCTCCCACAAATGCTTTTATTATTTCTAGACAAGTTTTGATTTTTAAGCTGTTGAATTTGTAGCATTGAGAGGAACCCATCTATTTCAGCAACAAGAACTCAGACTTTTTTTCTTCTCTGTACTCAGCAAGGCAATGGGCCCTCTCACCAAGAGGTTATTACAATGCATACGCACAAAGATCAAATTTATATTGGTAAAGAAAACATAATTCTGATGCTTCACAATCTGTATTGCTCTTTCCCAATTTTGAATAAACATATGCAGTTACAACAGGCAGTAAAACTATTTAGTATGCTTTTCTAACAATATACACACAGAAATAAATAAAGCCTTTTTCTACAGCTGTTTTAAAATAAAAGAGAAGATGACAGGACAGAAAATCACCAGCCCATCTCCATATCTGCCATACTTAAATATTTTGTCATTATCTGCAAAGGACCAGAAATATTCTTAGTAACATTTTGCAGGCATGTAGGAACACTATACATGCTTGTTACTTGATCAACTCTCACAGCTATTTCTAACTACTACCCCACGCTAGTAGAACTACAGTTTGAGGTACAATGCTTGTTCTTAAAATCTTCTAAATCTTTATGCAACAAAAAAGCTATACTTTAAGGACACTGCTCACTAAAAGTGGATGAAAACAGAGCAGCTGGCTTGTCACATTCTGTCTTGCTTTAAGCACCTAAACCCACACATGTCCTTACATCAGGAAACAAAAAGCTCTTCAAACGAGTTGTACATTTCAAATTACTATGAAAAAAAAAAAAGTAGCAAAGGACTTGTGCAGTTTGTGGTTTAAATACATGTCCTTGACTCTGGTTTTCTGGGCTGGGGGTGAAGGTTGGTTGGTTGTTTTGCTTTTTAGCTTGACAGAGCTGACATCTTATTGTACTGCCCCAAAACCCCAAAAGGTGAGAACCTCACCTGACTGAAGAAAAGGGGATTTTTGCTACTGACCTCAACAAGGCCAAGCTATCACTACAAAGATACTCAAACTGAAGGTTACATGAAAGCCTGAGTAGCTCTGGGTTGCCAGACTGACCAGCCTTTGGAAATATGTGCCCACATAAAGGACGGTTGCCAAATACACTGAGAAATCTGGAGACACCAGACACTGCCCATTAGCTCTCACTTGAAAGTTCTCTTTGAAATGTTTAAGTAAAAACAAACATTGCTGAAAACTGCTTTCAACTGCAGTTGGTACGCACTACAAAAATAAGTCATTTTGAACAAAATATGTAAGAGATATATACAAGCTAGAAGGAGTTCAATAGCTAGGCGACTCATATTTTTCCCATAAAGACCAAACTTTAATCATTGAAAAGCTCATCACTTGAATAATTCAAAAGATGAACAAAACTAGAAAAGAGGTAGAAAATCAGGGTCGCACTTCTGTATTGATTGCAGAAACCCCTGCAGTGGAGTAAACCCCCAAAGAATCAACTGTTTTAGAAGAGCAGTGAACTATCCTGTGAGAAAAAATATTTTTCTAGACTATCTACAAATATATGCTGAAAACTAGGAAATAAGTTTTTCTTACCAGGATTTCTCAATAAAAAACATGCAGAGAGGAAATGCTGGAACTTCTACAAGACCAGAAAGGGCCACATTTAAATACAGATTTCCTCTTAATTCACCAGCATTTAAAGTTAGACCATAGTACACAAAGCTGCAGACATACCTAAAATAACCATAAAAGTTGCATTACTAACACAACCAGTCTTTAGGGCTAAGAAAGTATTTAAAAGATAAATTATGCTGAGTTATGGATTAGCTATATTGAGTTACATGTTAGGAGGAAAACTCTTATTTCCCCCCAAAGGGAAACAAGGCAAAGAGAATAGCTCCTATTTAATTAAAATAACACCTTGAAAGAAAACAAATGCTCATATATATGCACAGCGTAACCTTCAGAATTTACTATTACCTCAGGTTTTTTTCTAGGTTATTTAGCAAATCTAATAAGCTTAACTGTAAGCAGATAATGCTGAACTGCTGCAAAGCAATCCTATAAAGAAAACCGTATGTACATCCACTGCTTAACACAGAGTTGTCTTCCCCAAGCCCAGGGCAGGCTTCCCCAAGAAACCTATCACACTTTCCTTGGGAAGAACCGAGGCTCCACACTCCTGCCCCATTAAAACCACCACTGGGGTGGAAAGGCCACCAACTTCCACACAAAGACATTTTGCCTATTCCCTGCTCATCACCTTTCTGTCCGAGCAGAGCCTGAGCCAGTGGAAGGGACAGTTTTCCCTGACTCAGGGAGCAGCCTGTCCTCTGCCAGTCACAGCGAGTGGGGTGTCCAAAGGCTCCTGAGCACCAGCTCAGGGAGCTGGGTGAGAACCACTGTGACACGACTCCAACAGTTCCGTGCGCTCTCTCTTAACAGGGTTTGATACAGAAAAACACTGCTGCCACCTCTTCTTCCAGAAAGTAAGAATGCCTCTGTGCAGTTTCTCATTTCTTTCACAGGTTGTACCACTTCTCCAGACAGCATCTAATATAAATCTATGCAATCTGTGTTTCACCTTGCACACAGTTTTCTTCCACTGAACCTGCGTAATGTGCTTTTGGGTTCTTAACGCTTACTCTTACTCCAGATCTCTACTGCTGTCTAATCCATCTAGTTGCTGTCTTCCTAAGACTGGTTCATACACATCCTCTCAGTAATTTCTGCTTCAGCTCCTCATTTCACTCCACGTAAATATTTATGTTCTCACCAGATTATTTCCTAGTAGATTTTGAAGCAGTTTCTAAACAACACATTGAAAATAAAACACAACAGCAATAATAATGAAACATCAACTTTACAACATACCAGTTATTATTGTCTGCCATCGACTGACAAATTTACGAATTATTTTTTGAGGACAGAATTTTTAAAATCAAAGGATGAAAATCTTTATCATTTCCTCATGTCTGACTCACTCACAGTATCTCAGCATCTTGTTATTACGTACCAGATGTACATCAGTGCGATGGTTTGCCACCAAAGGACTGGGTGTTTTACTAAGTTTAGGATACCAGGTGCAGACTCATCCTTTCTTAAAGTTCCCGCACTTGGTTTTAATTTTAGATTTAATCTCTCTCTTCCATTAGCAAGGGCAATATATTGCAACACATCTTCAGCTTCTGCCGTTTTCCCTTGGGAATACAGCCATCGTGGCGATTCTGGTAGCATACTAACAGGAAAGAGGAGATAATCAGCAATGACAAGCTCATTCCTATGAATGAAGCACTAAAGTCAGTCTTCCCTTTTTGCAAATCAATGCTTAAAACCAAAAACGCACCAATACAAAATTCAGAGAAAAACATTCTGTTTGCACTCTTCTGCATATTAAATTCCACATACTCCGACAATAACACAGTTAACCTTACAGAAGGATTGTTGGAGATGCTTGAGAAAGCAGTCAGTCATGGGAAAGGAATTTAAATCTAAATCTCAGCTTCTGCTTCCTTCTTCTTTGGAAACGCTACACTAGCATTATCCAGGAAGCATCTGAAATCCAAATTATCTGAACAGCCTGGACAAAACCTTGTTTTCACAAAGTTTATTTCAAGCTTCTTCATTATAGAAAGCACTTTGAGTTGGAGTGGAGAGAAGAGGAAAGAAACATTACTGGGGAATTACTTCTCAGGCTCCAGTACCAGCTCATCACTGCCCATATAAGTTGTGTATCTCTTATTCCCAAGTATAATAAGAATATCCTTCCTTATCACAACTGCAGTTCATGATTCCTGTTTTTTTCAGGCTGTAGAGCATGCTGTTGCTTTTATATGCACCATAAAATAAAGAATGGAATATTTTTAACTGAACCTTTATTTTTGCTGGTACTCCTAACAGAGATACGCATCCTACAACCAAACTAAACTGTAATCACTTCAAAGAGTCTTGGTATTTTTAGTATTTTGGGGAAATAATTCTACTTCTATCAGAAACAGAACACACCAGAGAAGAAAATAAATTATGCAGAACTTCTTTTCTCAGCCCACAGGCTTTGTTTTCCTTGACTACAGGAAGAGGTGGGTTTTTGGCATATTCTTTAACAGAACTTATTTCAAGAGCAGATCTAGCTAAAAAATAATTAATGAAAATAATTTAAATAAAAAATCAGAAGAGTTTTTTCCTATGCTGTACGCTGGACATTCCCTGTATTAACGTGTAGACAACCTCCTACACTGATTCTTTTATTTCTTCTACAGCTCTACCTGGCGATCAGAAGTATACAAGGTGTATTACTTGATATGTTAAAACAATATTTTGTAGCAACACAGGCCAGATAAAGCTAGCACTTTTAAATCCTTAAATACTGATGCATTTCATAATCATTGTTATGATAATGTCCATGTAGGAGTTCAAACTAGAAGCACCCAAGCACAACAGTGCTAGGAACAGACACAAGGGACCTCAAAAGCAAGCAGATACATAGCATATCACATTAAGAAGGCAATTCCAAGTGTTCTCACTTATTTCCCTTTGCATGCATGTGCCTCACAAAAAGAAACTTGAAAATCCCTCTCGGATCACTTCCAAAGCTTCTCAAGCACTGAGGCTCTTCCTTGGCAGAAGGCAGCGTTCCTGGCTGACATTCCAGCTCGCAGCCTCTGGCAGGGCTTCCCTTCCCCAAGCAGATTTGTAATCGAGTTTTATTGGACAGCTGGCACACAGCTGCTCTTTGCAACACTGGCCTCCACAACTGTAACAGCGTGCAGAAACACAAACTTGTCTTCTGGGTAACCCTGACCTTCTGCTTCATTTAAAACTGATTCTTCCTTCGCAATATGATTTTTCTCCTGCTTGGTTCACAAAACCATACAGGAAAATGTCATCCTTGTTTATACCACTCTCTGCAATGATAACAAGAAAAAGTAGCTGTTAAATTGCTGCATGTTTTTTCTTATCATTATAATGCATGTGAACCACTTACAAAGAAAGCAGAAAGAAGATGACTCCTGGAGTATTCGATACCAAGGCAAGGTAGCGCCATTCTCTCACGCAGTAACCCAGTAAAGCGTAAACAGCAATGCCAACTGCAAACGTCATATTAGTTAACGAACCTGAAAATACAAGACCAAAACGGTGACTACAGAAACCATTGGCAAAGGAAAACAAAAATTCCTAAGCAGAAGCCTGAAATTCCTAGCCCATGATATACCTAAATAAAATAGCAATTTTATGAGGTATCTTTGCAGCCCTTATGAACCAGGTGGCTAAAAGGTATTATGCAGTCCCAACGAAGAATAGCTTTCTATAACGTATGAGTGGGTTGGGGGTTTTTCCCCCTTTCAAAAATAAAGGGTGCTACACAGGAGAGAGCAAGAAATGAACAGGAATCTACAGACTAAAGAGAAAACCTGCAGACAGGAAGGGTAAATGTTTGTGAACAAGTGATTTATTTAGGTTTATTAAGGTTATCTTGAATAGAGGTGGCAGGCTGGAACAGAAAATGGGAGTAAGTTACAAAAGTACAAGGACTGAGTTCAGTGTAAAAACAGCTGCAAGCCAGACGTTTATTACAGCAGACTTCTGATGAACAAGCATAAATAAAAATGTTAAAAATATGGGGTCAACTTGAATTCCAAAAGCCTAACAACAAACCCTCTGCAGCCTAACAAGGAGATCTTGTACTAACCCAGCAACTCTCAGCTATCGCCCACAAAGCCTAGCTCCCAGCCAACATGTAGGAGAGCTTCTTGAATGCTGCTGAGCTGCATCCAGCACCTCCCTCTCCTTCAGCCCCTGATCAGTTGTTCAGCACCTCTTTCCCAACAGCTGAGCAGAACTAGAATAAAGCACCTAGAGTGACAAGCGGCAGGAAACAGACTGTCTCTGGTCCATCAGAAGGCTGGCCCTGCAGGGAGAAAGCCTGGAAAAAGCAGAGAGACAACAGGGCAAGGAGGGCGGGAGAAAGAGAGCATGAGTCAAAAAAGGGAACCCAGGAGAAGAAGAAAATTCAGTACTTAAAATAAGTTTAAAGCTATAACTAAACCACAGCTGTCTCATACATCCCCAGGAGTCCAGAGCAGAAATAAAAAAAAATAGTAGAATAAGGTAACTGAAGAAATGAAAGAGAAATGCGCTCACAGGCACAGAAAAACAGCATTTGGACCAAGTTTTTCTCCACATTACACTGGCCAAAAAGATGTTACAGTCTGAGCTACTCCAGCTTTACAACAGATTGACGTACAAGCGTTAATTTTAAGTCTTGGCAGAGGCATACGAAAGAGGACATTTAAAAATACTAGTCGAGCACATTCAGCAGTGGAAAATACCTCTATCCAGGCACTCAGTCATTTTGTGGTGCAGAGAAACTTCAAAGAACACGTTCAAGAATACCTTCCCATGATATTGTATAGCATCATTCAGAAGCTGGCAGGATCCACCAAAACATGTATTATTTTTCCAGTGTAACGCAGTGTACAAATTGAAATTTCAGAACCAACGTACCCACTGTAAAACCTCAGTTTTGCTATTTATCAAAGTCAATCCCATCCTCCTTATTCAGACACCTTTCCCACAGAAATTAGAACTTGGATGAATCATATCACAGTTATTTGACTTATGCTACAAACTGACTTTACGTGGTACAAAAGTAAGAATTTAAAGTGTAAGGTATTGACAGAACAATACATGGCACGGTAATAATGATTAAATATTCCTAAATCCCACCTGTAAATGACCAAAATGATTTTCCTACATATTCTTGTGTTAGGACAAAAGACACAAGAGCCATTCCACCATTCACGATTCCAACAAAAAAACGTGAAACTGCAAATACGTCATAATTTGGAGCAAATGCTGTGACATACCCAAAAACTACATCAAAAAATAGACCTGTAGAGAGAGAATAAAATGTAATTAGCACTTATGCTATGCAGCTTGAACTCAGAAGAAGGGCAGGGAGCAGTTAGTTACTGACTGTAATGAGCAGTCTATAGTACTCGTCTCTGATCTCTCACATTTGGCTTTCTGAAATCACACTAGATGAAAATTACAATCATCCTCACTTCACACACTTGTCGGCACTGCCAAAGGTTTTGTTTCCTTGAGACAATGTTATTATTACACAAAAAGACCCTTCGGCTGCAAACGTAGCCAGAAACGAAAACACCACAAGATGAGTTACCCACTCTAAAGATGTTTGGGTGAGTCACTCTCCTCCACCCCCTCCCTCCCACAAAACCAAATTATTTTCATTGGAGACAATATGATCTGTCAATGTGTGGAATGCTCTGCTCAAACAGCAACAGCCACAACAAACGCAGGCTATTTTTCATCTCCCATTGATATTTCAGTGACAACTATGCTGCCCAGCACACTCGTACCAACATACTTTAGTGCTGCTCTACTCCGAGTGAAACGATGATACAGATTGTGACTCCCTAAGATGGATGCAGCAGGTTGGCTTGAGGGCAGCCTCTGGGTAGGGCAGCCCCCCAGGCAGAAAAGAAAGATGTTGTTATCCATGTAGAATGCTTAAGAAAAACCTTTTAACAATCTTACCTGAGATATACACTGGCTTCCTGCCCAGTTTATCTGACAAAGGGCCAAATGTGATATTTCCAATAAGTAATCCAGCAAAATATAGGGATGATGCAAGGCTCACCTTGTAAGCTTCTTGTTCGATTAGGTACCACTGTCAAAAAAAGAATCTCCTTATTCTTAGAAGTATTAACAGCAAGTTGCTAGCTTCCTCAAAAATAACAAATATCTATCTATCAGAACTCTTCTCTTGCTATTTCCTGCATCTTGTTTTACATGCAGTGAAAGTTCTGTTCAAAGTTTGATGGGTAAGCCAACAGTAGTCATATTTTTTTTCCTCCCTAACAGACTCTCACATCTCTTTCTCTCTTCTGAGAAATTTAATTTATTATAGCCTTTCAACTTGATAAGTATAATTAGTTGCACCCCAACCTGCAAGCTTTGACAAGGCAACTTAAGTTATTAAAACAAGGGAAGTCTGAATTGCTAGCAGCTTTCAACATTGAACAAGCATAGCTATTTCAATGAACAGGTAATAATTTTTATTACCAAGAATAAAGCATGTTCACTATCGCAGTACGTAGAGAGTTAACACTGTGCAGCTACACCTCCTGAACCATGAGTAGTCCCTGGTGCCCTTCCTCATCATACGCACATTAAATTATTGAAGACAAGCAGGAAGGGATTATGGAAAGATGTCCTTGTCTTATAAAAACTCTAAGAGCTATTTATCAAGTACTCATTGATAGATTAGTATTTATTGTGCGCACGTGCTTATAGTTAAACGTTAGAAACAAATGATGTGTTTCTTCATAAAATGTACTTTCTACCTCAAGCAAAAGCTAAACTGAGGCAGCATAATCAAAAATTGTCAGAAGAGAAGACAATGAACTGACAGTGGGGTGAAACTGGAATGAAAATTACACTGTTTCCTAGGGGGGGAAGGCATACAGATGTGTAGCCCCCCTGCTACAAACAAGGAAAATCAACACCCATAGAAAAGCACTGTTGAGGTTACACACATCGCTGACATTCCCAAACTTGGGAAAGAAGAGCAATCAGAAAATCCTAATTGATTTTCCAGGAAAAGAATTGAACTAATTCAATTCAAAGCTTCACCCAAATAAATATTTAATTATTAGTTGAGTATTTCAAATAATCCCCAGTCTATTTACTGGAATATTTACTTTCAAAAAAGTAGATGAGTATTCACACCAGAGCAGTGTCATGCTGACTTTTTAAATGACATCTGCAGTATGTCCTGTGGGAAAAGGAAGAAAGATCCTGATCCCATTTGTTTCTTTTAAGAAACAGAAAAAAAAAAAATCCAAAAAGCCTAAGGGAAGAGGCCCATGACCAAAATCCATACAGCATACTAGGACCTCAGCCCTGAAGTGTCTGCCTTGAATTAATCTAGATTCCCAAAGAATATTAGGAATTTACTGAAACTTAATTATAGCAATCTCAAGAAACATACGTTTTTACTCAATCTGACCTCACACTCTGGCAAAGTACAGAGAAGACACAGCCCTAGCCACCCAGTAACCCACTGGCTACTGTGCTCTACCCATCCAGCAGCCTGCAACACACAGGTTGTAGGACCAGGCCAAGATTTAATGCATTCACAGGACGCCTTCTTTATTCCAATGCAGACAGTGTTCCAGCACTTCAGAGTTGTGGGGGACTTCTGGGTCCTCTGGGAAAGTAAAACTTCCGTGCAGCAGCATTTGCAGCTAGCTTCTATATACCCCGCTGGGTAGTGGGTTCTACCCTGTTTCATTGGATCAAGATGTAGCCCCCAAACTTATGGTTTTGTAGATTTCTGAGGAGATTTCAACAATGAAATATTCCTGGGCACAAATCCTCAGGGAACTTCCAAGTATAAAAATACCACAGCATGTCCTGCCCAGGGCACAATGCGCTGCTGGCGTGAGTCCTTCTGCCTGCTAGCGCTCCACAACAAGCACATCTCAAACTCCCAGTTCTTGTCTGGAGGGTGTTTCCAGCTGATACAAGAGACAGAACTTTATGCTCCTGGATATGGTCGCAAAAATCAGCTTCTCAAACGTAAAGGACCATTTCTACACCAAATGTAAGACATTCCTGAACTCAACTTCTTAAGCAAAATCACTTGTTAAATAAAGCAGGGGACTGAGCTGATGTCAATCCAAGAAGCAATTCTAACAACTATATTTTCCATGAAACAAGCCTGAGCTATTATTTACAAAGTCTCAGTTACGCCAAAATTAATTCCAATTATTAGTTCTTGAAGCAGAACTGAAGAGCTCCTCTGAAGTTTTGTAGAGCTCTAAAGCAGAACAGTGTCCCTGCTAAACCAGAATGAAAATGTTTATGGTTTAAGCTCCACCACCAAAATAAAGGAAATAAACTTTACAAAAGCAGCTTCCTCTCTCAGGACAGAACAAGAGAAAAGATTGCTTTCGCAAACTGTTATTTGTGCTGTTTAGCATGTCACTGGTAGATGCTTATATTTTAACAAGTCTGATATAATAATCTGTGAGGAATATAACTTTAAAAATAACGTGTCTATCTACTTTATTTGTACAAAACAAACTTGTTAAATATTTGTCAAGATGAACTATAGCTTGCCAACAAAAACACTGCCAATATTGTTATCACCAAACCAGACATCCTCTCTGCTCTTTAAATCTACATGGCATTTCAATTTAGTTACTAGACAGCTATCAAAGAGCAAAACATTGGCCAATATCTAAAGATTCAATGGAAAGACTGTTAACAACATAATTTAAAAAATCCTACAATAAAGTTAATGAAACCAATGGGAACATAAATTTGTTTTGATGAGTCTAGAGAATTACTATATATTTTGGAAATACAGACACAGACTTAGATGTTTAAAAACACAGTATTAGTTAAAATTTGTGGATTTCTGTTTACAAATTAAGCACTACCCCACATCACACATCCTCTTGAGAACCTGAAACTGAAGGGTAATCTTGGAAAATAGGTTAATCAAAAAAACCTGTTTCTGACAGAGAATATCATCCAATATTGCATCCTCCCTTCTTACGTCTAGTCACTACTTGTTTCCAAGAGAAAAATTTCACAGTCACATTTGGGATAATGGGAAGGAAGCAAAAGTTTGGCACCAGCTACACCAAGCACTAACCTGTCTCAGACAAGTTTACTGACAACTGCTCCAAGAATTCAATCAGCAGAACTCTGACAGCTCACCCTACAAGCCAAGCCACCCACGCGGTCTTTTTTCTGGCACTGGCAGTGATGCTGAGGTCACTCGCACTTGCCTGAGTGAATATAGCCCAGGGACGAGCAAAAAGCAACCACAGCCTTCTGCATGGTATTCACAAGGCGTGAGGACAAAGGGTCAAGCTTCCGTCCCACTCAGCAAGTTTCCATCTGTTCCATCTCCCACTCTCTCACCACACATTAAAATACCCAGACATGTGGTGCATGAGTTTCATTTTCATACTAGTTTTAAGATGTACATCTTCTCAGAGAAACTAATGCAACTCATAGTAAAGCTTACATGCACAGCAGATTGTGCAGGCATGACAAATTGAACCTTTTCTTGGTAGAAAATAAGATATTGGGAGGAGTGCATTCTAATCTCCAGAGTTACAAAGTGTAGTTAAATGATTCCTCTTCATTAGTAATGACATTCTAAAACATCTGAAGGCAAAGAAAACTGAAAGCAAAATAAACAAAGAGAGTTTAACCTAAACTAATAAAGATTAGACTCACACTAGGAATGCAAAACTAATAATTTAATCATATACTTTCAGATTTTAAAATCATAATTAAATAAAAAGCCAGATGGGTGGGTTCCAGTTAATTTTTTATAGCATAAGCAAAACTTTACACTAAGCCCTGCTCAACTTTTACAAGCACCACATCCTGCACTAGTGGCATAAATCCCAAGAAGAGAAGAAATGGTTAAGCACAAGAGAAGTACTTGCCTCCGTTACTATAGATGTGAAGTTGTCCGCAAAACGGATATGCTTGGCAAGCTCAGCTCTGCTCGCTGGAATTCCTTCTTGGACAACGTGATACTCAGGCACAGCTCCCACAAGCACAATAAGCATCGACTGACAAGCCACATATACCTTAAAATGAGACACAATCATTCACCCTAAACAATCCCAAGGAGACCTGATGGAATACTCTAAGCTTTGCATTAAACTAACAATTAACAATTTCCCTTTACCCAGCATCACAAACAAGACACAATCAGTCTACTACATTTAAATCCCCAGATGGGATCATCAAGGCAGCTGGGAGCAGTGGGTACCACTCCGGAGACACTGGTTCACTTTCAGTGAAAGCTTCATCCTGAAGCCCTCCTTCCTGCTGCAAAGTTGTTCAGATTGTTGTTGCAGTTCTGTAGCCAGGCACAGGAATGGAAGATATTAAGAACTTCACGACAGTTTCACAGCTGAGATCTAACACTTAGACCAAGATTGTTATTATAAAAAAAACAACTTTACTTGCTATACTCAAAGAATACAACCTGTAGTGACAAGTAAAAAAAAAAAAATCTAAGATTATATTTTTAAAAGTCTCTCCTAGTTACTTCCATTGTAGAGACAGACACCTTAACCTGATTGTTCGGAAAACTAGAATATACAGGAATAAAAAGAGATTTTTCATAAATAAACTTTTATGAGAATATTTATTCATCAATGTGGGCTTTAAGATGTTTTTAATGTCTTCTGGGCTTTGCATGTGATTTTATTTTTTCTACCTTAAAATAACATTAAGTATACCCATGTATTAGTCATTTTCAGCAGGTTACCATTGATCGAAAAGTTTTGAATCTAGAACACCTTCCTCCATTGGGCTACAAGTCTTTGCGTGGCGGATTTGGCTGGTCGTTGTTTTAATGTGCTTACCTTGGGTGTGCTTCCAGAAACAAGTCACAAAGAAAACCCTTCAATCAGCACCACCTCCCTCCCTTACAACAGAGTTTTAATGCAAAATGCGGAACTGCACTAATAGGAGGAAGCATTATGAAGAAACTGAGTGAAACAGATAAATGTTTGCATGTGGCGGTGTGGGCACTATTTAAAGACAGCACCCTGCATACCAATTTTCACAAGAGATTTAAAAAAAAAAACACCCCATGCCAAAAACCCCAGTTGCTATGGTTAGACTCCATTTCCTTCCCTTCAGCAGAAGTTTGAAAGGCACTGTTCAAACGGTGGAAGATGTGCCTACAAATAAGGAAAGCGGATCACAAACTTTGACAAGCCAAGCATGTAAGGCTGCACTGAGGCCAGACAGAGGTTTGAAAAACAACCTGCAAAATGATCCAAACGCACCAAATTCTTTTTGAAACTTATACGAAACCGAGGAGGGGAATAAGAGGCCGTTTGTCACTGAAATTCTCAGGGAAGGCTGGCCATCCTCCGCAGCAGTGACTAACGAGAGCGCCACGGACTGGGCGGAGGGGCCAGGA